TTTCTTTATTTTTCTGCCTTTATCCTCTATGTTTTGGTTTATTTTTCTGTGTTTTTAGATGGCGCTGGTAAGTGGTGACACTACACAACACTTTTCACTGCATTTTGTAACATAATACACATGACAACAAATGAACCAAATTTAAAATGTCAAAGTTCATGAGTCACTGAAGGCTAACATGCAAGCACAGCAAGAAATTAGGATGGTGAATGGCATGTGGCCTTTATTGCAAAATGAATTGAATAAAGAAGTCATGCTGCAACTATACTGAGCCTTCGCAAAACTGCAATTTGGGTATTGTGTTCATTTACCCAAGGAAGGAAAGTTATTTCAGTCAACCTGTTTAGACATGTTATGCTACACCTCTGGGGCAAGTGGATCCGGAACCCAGACCTCTTGGCCCTGAGGTAGAGACACTATCACTGCACCACAACACTCTCTAAGGAAGTATATGCTTGTTAAAGAGGGTTTGCAATGAAGACCCACCAAACTAAATCCTGGGATGGCAGGATTGTCTCATGAGGGGTGACTGGGGAGACGAGGCCTATATTCTGTGGCCTTTAGAAGGATGTGACCTCAGTGAGACATTGAAAATTCTCACAGAAATCGGCAAGGTAAATACAGGAAGGACGTCTTCCCTGGTTGGGGGAGGGGTGCAGTGGCTGGTGGTTGGAGTGCCGAACCACAGGGCAGTGTCAGAATAAGAGGCTTTAAGACATTTAGAACTGGGAAGAGGAGGAATTTCCTTATTAAGCCTATGGTGAATCTTTCAAATTCTCTATCCCACAGGCCAGCAGAGGCTTATTCATCAAGTATGTATCAATAGATTTCTAGATATGAGAGACATTAAGATATATTGGATCATGCAGGAAAATGGCACTGAGATAGAAGATCAGCTGTTAGAGACACACAACAGGGAGAGGAGGAATATATATTTTCTTTCTGTGAAAAAGGCAGGAGGAATAAAGAGGGAGAGAGAGAAGGGTAAGATAAACAAAGAGAAATCCAAGAGAAGGAAGGGGAAGAGAGAATATGAATGAAGACTGGAGAAGAAATAAGGAAAGATTAATGGAAATAAATGAAAAACAAGAAGACGACAAATTATTAATGCCATTAAAAAATTCTTCTCTGCCCAAATCCAAGAATCCACAGCAAAAAACAGTAATAAGTCATTGTGTTAAACAACCATCCATTGACAAGAAGCAGTTTTGAATTTTTAATCAATTTTGCATCAGAGATACTAGCCATTACCCTGTTTATTGTATCTAGATCTGCTCCTTGTTCTTGCAGCCATTCTGTGAGCTCTTGATCCACTCTGTTATGTTCAGGAGGGTTTTGCACTGAAGCAACTGAGATATCTATGAATGGAGAAGATAATGCAGTCAGCACTATTCTATTTTAATAGTGAGCTAAAAGAAGAATCACCTGAGATGGACAAAATAAATGACTAAACATTTTGAAAAAAAAAGTTGCAGCCAGTTTTGCATGAATTTAAACATACATAGATGTGTTTTGGCTAACAGGAGTGGTTAAACCATAAATTCTAGTGTGTTTGGGGTGCACATTCCCTTCAGTACGATCTAAAAGATCTAGAGGAGGAAGATAATCTGCAGTGGGCAGATCCATGAGTGGCACCCATCTACCATCTTCATTTTCAATTTATTTCATTACCTGTTGGTTTGGATTTTAACTGGAGAAGATACACATCCTGCTGCATCTGTTCAATTGTTTGTTGAAGAAGCTTCTGATACTCTTTTTCCTTCTGGACCAAGTCTTCCAAAAGCCTACAGGGTCACAATGAGATCATCTCACAACTCCAACGAGCAACATAAAGTTAGGTTTATATAGTGCATTTCATGATCCCAAGGTGTTCCAAAGGCCTTTCACAGTCCATGAGGTACATTTTAAATATGGTCACTAGTGTCACATAGCGAAGCTAGACAGAGACAGCTTCATTATCAATTATGTACAACATAGCTTTCAACCATTTTCCTTATCTATGGTTGAAAAAAAAAGAATATTACCAGAGAGTGAGTTAACACACAGTATTCAAGTGTGTTCAGATTACATGATAACCAATAGGATAAACAATCTACAATCTTGAAATTTGGAAACAGCTTTGAATTAATGCTATAGTCCCTTTGTTTGTAATTAGATCTTGTAGGCATAATGATGGGGGAGATTCTTACAAATTTTTGAAGATTGGTAAAAGAGGATGAGCATTCAGTTGCTTGTAACTTCAACTCTCTAAGGATTGACTGTATATCTAAATTATATTCAGGTGTCTTTCACAATCTCCAGATACCCACAAAGTGCTCTAAAGTCAATAAAGTTATTTTTTAAATGAGTCGCCTTTGTAATTTTGAAATGTAACAGAATATCCGCACAAGATCCCAGAAGCTAAAGTGAAATACATTAGCAGATCATTAACTTTAGATATTAGTTGAGCAATACATAGTTGCAAGAGATCTGGGGATCTCCACTGTTCTTCTTCAAAAAAGTGCCCTGGGATCTTTACTGTCCATCTAAGAGACAGCGTCTCTGGAAGACAGCACAGCACTCCCTCAGTATTGCACTAAAGTGTCAGGTGAAATTTGAACTCACAACCTCCTTTGCTTTGGTTTTGTAAGACACTAAAGTTGTAGATGATGGCACCTAGGAATGAGTTTCTACCTCAAGACTCCAGATAGACAAAGGCTCAATACCTGAAATTAAAACAAAGGGCGGCACGGTGGCTCAGTGATTAGCACTGCTGCCTCACAGCGCCAGGGACCTGGGTTCAATTCCAGCCTCGGGCGACTGTCTGTGTGGAATTTGCACATTCTCCCCGTGTCTGCGTGGGTTTCCTCTGGGTGCTCCAGTTTCCTCCCACAGTCCAAAGATGCGCAGGTTAGGTGGATTGGCCATGCTAAATTGCCCATAGTGTCCAGGGATGTGTAGATTAGGTGGGTCTGGGTGGGATGCTGTGAGGTTTGGTGTGCATTTGTTAGGCCAAAGGGCCTGTCTCCACACTGTAGGGATTCTATGAGTGCTGGGGAAACTCAGGAGGTCTGCGGAGAGAGAAACAGAATTAACAGTTCAAGTCAAATGTGACATTTCATCAGAACTGTGCCAATGGAGAATCACTTTGACTGGAATTGCTAACTGAGTTTCTCCAGCAGTTGTTCATTTTATTTCAGATTTCCAGTTATATGCAGCACTTCACTTTCATTTAAAGGCTCAATACCTGTTTGTCTCCAGTCTCAGTTTTCCCAGCTGCACACTCAGAGGATTTTGTAGGTGCTGGAAGTCTTGCAATGTGACTGAACTAAAAGTGTTCGCTCTTGGAGTAACAGGAGGGTCCTTGTTTTTACCTTCCTCTTCCTGTTGGTACATGGGATCTTCCACCTCATCTGTATCTTTGTCCAGCCCTTCTCCCTCAGAGGCAGTGCCAAAATGAGAGCGCAACTCTAAGCAATCAAATAGCCGTTGAAATATTAGTGCCTAAACGTTAACAAAACGAAACAAAAACCTAGAAGGTGAGGTCTTTCATTAACTAAGGCTGTAATTTTAATGGAAACCACTATTTATTTAATGTTCTTCATGATTTTGTGCAAAATGTTCTTTTTCTAATTTAAGATTTGGAGGATGTTTTAGGTGTTGAGTGGGGAGGGAAGGAGAAGATACACAATATTGGGTCAGGCTATTATATTGTGGAGCGGGCTTGAAGGTGTCTTTGAATTTTACTGTCCCTCAATTTTGGCTTGTAAGACCAATGTCGCCAAGTGGGTACAGATAATGTGGGGATTTCCAATACAAGAAGGTTGCCAACTCGGAAAAAAACCCCACCATATCACCAGAGGTCTGCACACCAAGACAGGTTAGCTTACCTACTTCTGAATACATAGGTCAGCCCACCAGGTAACATCCAGGTGCTGATTACACCCTAGGAATAAAGGTTGCCTTTTGTATTGTTGCATTGGCATGCTTATACAGGGCCTGAGGGGGAGCTGGATCGGGGCTAGGGGGAGAATTTACATAAGTCGCACTGACTGTGGCAAGTCACTGGACATCCTGGTCATGAACAGCCAAGGGGCCCTGAATATGCAACCATTATGAACACAGCATCAGTTGGCCTCATGAAAATTTGTTGTAGACACTGGTAAAGTCAGCAAGAGAAGACATCAGTGGGTTCTATCTCAGCATTACTCCAAGCGACTGCAACCATTTTTCAAGACTGCAATGTTTAGGTCTACCATATTCACTTTGGTACAAACGGTCATAGTCATACATTACTGGCTGTTTTCAAAAACCTATTTGTATTTTCATTGCCAATGGACATGCTGATAAAAGGTTAGACTAGATGCATGACAAACAATCAAACTGTATGATTCTCATTCTGACTTTGGAGCCTAGACAAAATGAGAAACTATGTTCAACTCAAACATCCAAAATTATGTTACTTCTGATTGGAATTCTATTTATTTTCTAATGAACTTATTTAGGCTTGTTATGAGATGTGAGCTCAGGCCTCCAGAGGTCAGGACACTACCACTGCACTCACAACAACCCTACTGATTGGTATTCTATTGACAAGGTGGTAATTTCACATGGGCTTCCATTGATGTTACTGTCCCAGCACAATTATGTCGAAGAAATGCAGTTTCATGGATAACGGGTCTCAAGATTCAAATAACATAATAATCTATTCTTTCACTGTAGGGTGCAGATTTCAATTTTACCATTATTGGGGTTCTAATACTTTGTAAGTTATGTGGTATATTTGTGGAATGCTGATCTAAACAGCATAATGTTTGGATTGTGATATGATTTATAATGTGCTTTATAAATGTGTAAAAACTGCTTGTGGCATAGCCATGCAAGGAAAGAGCAAATGGAAAGATTAGAGAAGACATTGGACCAAAGAACTTTTGAGAACTTCCAATCAATCAAATTTGCAATGGACTGGACTGATCAAATCAGTGTGGAGATAAAGACAGAGGAAGTTACAGTCAGTAAAGTTTGCCTTGCGATGAACAAAACAAAAAAGCTGAAATCGAGTTTGACCAACTATGGTCACAGCAACCAAAATGCGACGTCGCAATAATGAATTGCAGCCAAGAATTTAAAAGATGAAGCTGAAATAGATTGGCACTAGAGTCGGTAAGGAGTGACCTGTTCGATCACTGGAAAACGTGCATGGAGAAGTCATTGAAGGATTGATTATCTGGGATGAGTTCCATTTCCAAGCAACACGAAGTAATGGGAATTATTGTGTTAGATCCAAAAAGCATTTAGTAAAGGTACAGCCATAGGCAAATGGAAGCAACAGCATCCATGATTGTTATTATTCTAAGAGTAAGGGCCCAAGTAACTGTCTTACAAAACTTGACTTTTGATAATGAATGGGATTTTGCTGCAACGGGACCAAATTTGTTTTCCTAACATTTTCTTCCAGGAGCCAAAATGTCACAAAATAAAATGTGAGTCTTAAAAAGTAATGATGAGATATATTCCAGAGGTGAGGAATTGAGTACCTGGAATGAGAATGGTAACTGCTGCCTGTACTGCACGACGGATAATGTTATCCATTGCAAACATCCAGTGAGGCTTGATGTGATGTTGTCTCAAAACCTTATTAACCTGAAGCATGCCAAAATAACGAAGAATAGTTTTATCTTATGCAGCACGCTTTATCCTATTTCATAGAAGCCGAACTAAAATAAACTATCGAATAAATTCATCGACCTCTGAACAAGAATTCATTTATCCACTTGTCAATATATTAGTGACAAAGGGTATCAACTCAAAAGAATCAGATTTAGTAGAAATGTATTTATACAATGAACTGAAATTATAGGAAGTGCTTATTAAAGCTAAATAGACATTAAAGCATGACTCAGTTAAACACATTAAGATGGAAACTATGAAATGGTATGAAGAAACAGGCAGGTTTGTTAAACATCATGAAATTTGTGCACAGAAGGAGGCTCTTATTCTATTTTACCCGTGTCACTATTAGCTCCACGTCCAAGACAGTCTTGTCAAAATTCACTCCTTGGTTTTCCTTCGCATTAATACATTCAAAATCCTATCGATCCTTTGTGTGAATACATTTCTTTATAATCTTTTAAGTTGATGCCACCTAGATTCTAACTTAATGTCAAGTGGATGTAATCTTGGACTGTTTTTCCTCTCCAGCTCTTTCAAAACTTTGAGACTTTCTGTTAGATTTGCCCTCAACCTTTTCTACTGCAACAGATGAGTTACTAGCTATAACCATATCATCGCAATTTTGCTTTAATCCCAGATATTGAACTATATCGTAGATTTCAATATAATCTGAACACTACATACTCGTAACTGGGGCCTAAGCAGCTTCCTATTATCAATTCTTCTCATTGTAGAGAATTGGGATTGGGTATGGGGCACTAGGGGAGTCATGTTGCTCCCTTCCCCGCAAAAATGTCATTTTGCCCCCAGAAATTTCTGTCACCCATTCTTTGTCTCCAGATTGAGCTCCCCATTGTCTCTGTGAATTGCAGCTGGCACTTCAAACCTGGCATGTTGGTATTTCCCAGCTCTCAGTTGGTTCCCTATTTGCTCAGTTAGCCAAGGCCACTTCCACTCATTCAAACTGCAGCAACTCTAGACACGGATGTCTGGACAGTACCACTTATTTCAACTCATATGCTTGAAAAATGTACAATTAGAATCATAGTGGTCTACAGCATGAAAACTGGCCCTACAGCATGAAAACTGGCCCTTCAGCCCAACTTACCCATGCTGCCCATGTTTCACAATTTAAACTAGTCCCATTTGTCTGCATTTGCTTCATATCCCTCCATGCCTATCCCATCCATGTACCTGTCTAAATGTTTCTTAAGTGACAAAATTGTACTCGCTTCCACCACTACCTCTGGCAGCCCATTCCAGATAGTCACCACCCACTGTGTGAAAAAATAGTCCCTCTGAATCCTTTTGTATCTCTCCCCTCTCACCTTAAACCTATGCCCTCTAGTTTTAAACTCCTCTACCATGGAGAAAAGGTGGCCACTAGCTACCTTATCTATGCCTCTTATGATTTTATATAGCTCTGTAAGGTCACCCCTCAGGGAAAAAAAGTCCCAGCCTATCCAACTTCTCCCTATAACACAAACCTTTCAGTCCAAGTAGCATCCTAGTAAATATTTTCTGCACTCTTTCTAGTTTAATAATATCCTTTCTGTAGAGTGGTGACTAGAACTGCATGTAGTACTCCAAATGTGGCCTCAGCAACATTCTGTACAGCAACAACAAGACACCCCAACACCTATATTCAATGCTCTGACCAATGAAAGCTAACATGCCGAAAGCCTTCTTCACCACCTGTCCACTATTTTCAAGAGGCTGTGAACCTGTACCCCTAGATGTTCTTTAATAATCCACAGGACCCTACCATTGACTGTGTAAACCCCATCCTGGTTTGCTTTACTGAAATGCAACACCTTGCATCTATCTAAATTAAACTCCATCTGCCATTCCTCAGCCCACTGGCACAGTTGATCAAGATCTCGCTGCATTCCCAGATAACCTTCTTCACTGTCCACTATACCACCAATCTTGGTATCATCCATAAACTTACTAACCATACCTCCTAAATTCTCATCCAAATCATTTACATAAATGATGAGTAACAGTGGATTCAGCACCAATCCCTGTGGTACTCTACTGGTCACGGGCCTCCAATTTGAAAAACAACCCTCTGCTGTCACCCTCTGTCTTCTACCAGCAAACCTATTTTGTATCTAATTGGCTAGCTCTCCCTGGATCCTGTGAGATTTAACCTAAACACCCACCATGCAGTATCTTGTCAAAGGCCCTGCTAAAATCCACTTAGACACTGACTTACCACACTGCCCTCATCTACTTTCTTGGTCACCCCTTCAAAAAACCCAATCAAATTTGTGAGACACGATTTCCCACGCACAAAGCCATGCTGATTGTCCCAAATGAGTCCTGCCTCTCCAAATACCTATATAATCCGATCTGTCAGAATTCCTTCTAGCAGCTTACCCACTATTATTGTTAGGCTGACCTGTCTGTAGTTCCCAGGTACTTTATTGTAGCCTTTCTTAAATAATAGCACAACATTAGCCACTCTCCAATCTTCGGGCACTTTACCCGTGGCTATCAATGATACAAATATTTCCATTAGGGGCCCTGCAATTTCCTCCCTATCCTCTCACAAAGTCCTGGGATACACTTCATCATATCCCAGAGATTTATCTACCTTAATGTATTTTAATTAATCCTTTCCTCTTTACAAATTCTCACATCTCTTTATCAAATATATTTCTAAAGTCTAAATATACCAAATGCATTCATTGCATTTCATTTCTTCAAAGGCTTGGGAATATACCCTCCCCCATCTAAAAAAGTAGAATTATAATAATGGAATTAGACTGGTCCCTTATAAATCTGCTTCGGCTCCTTAAGATATTCTTATTGCATACTGAAAACTTAGTGGAAAGAATTGAAAAGAGCACCACATCCTCTTTTAAAGTCAGTCACTTTACTAGAGCTTAATCTAGCTGCTCCTGCTTCCTGAAAATGGTATGTATACAAAGGACAGCTTAACATTTTAAGTGGAACTCTTTGACAATACAGGCAAGTGGTTATAGCCGAAAAGTTAAGTTTTTTTGAAATAAATACTGATTGACTTACCGTATAATTTCAGTGCTATATATTGTTTTATTTGCAGTTCTTTTTAAATTGTTTTTATTTCTATACATTATTCAGACCATTACACCTTTATCAGTTCTTCTGCACATCCTTCCATTTCCGCCAATCAACTCGATTTCTTCCTTTCTGCACCTTAAGGTTTTGCTGCTTGTTTTCTTCTTGAAGTTCGCTTTTTCTTTTAACACACTTTTCCACAGCTTGTACTGATCTGCCTCTAGCTTCCATCTCTGCAGCCTCTGACAAGCATTTCAGCTGCATTTCTCCATATGCTTGACGTTTTTCCTTTCTTCATCTTCCTCACTGCCTGTTCAATCTTCTCCACTGTTATCTCTTTCCTTATCACTTTTGCTAACTTGGGCAGCTCCCCCAATTAGCACTGTTACGTTTTCAGTAACAACCTAAGCCACAGTTGGAACAACATCTCCTTATCCAGAAATTGCTATTTCTGCAAGGAAAACACGCATAACTCCTTCAAACATTTGAATCAGAAGCAGGAGTTGGCCATTCAGCCCCTCAAGGTTGCTCTGCCATTCAATGAGATTAGAGTTGATCAGATTATAACCTCAAATTCAATTCCTGTCTACCTAGATAACATTTCAACTGCACACTTACAAGATTTCTACCTATCTCTGGCCTAAAAGTATTCAAGAACTTTGCCTCCATCACCTTTTCAGAAAGGGAGTTCCAAAGGCTCATGGCCCTCAAGAAAAAAACAAATCCATCTAATCACTGTTTTAAGTGGGTGATTTCTGATTTTTTTTCTGCTAAAAGCAGTAAGCCCCCAGTTCTGGATTCTCCCATAAGTGGAAATATCCTCTCCAGACCAGCTCAGTCAGTAGTGCTGCTACTGAGCCACTCTTGGCGATGGACATTATAACTTTATAAAACATTGGTTAGGCTACAGATGGAAATAATGTGTGCCATGCTATTGGAAGGACATGATTTGCACTGGAGAGGGTGCAGAGGAGATTCACCAGGATGTTGCCTGGGATTAAAAGTCTCAGTAATAAGCAGAGACTGGAAAGGCTGGGTTTGTTTTTCCTGGAGTAGAGGAGGCCGAGGGGGGACCTGATTGAGATATACAAAATTATAAGAGGTATTGATACAGTAGATCATGAGAATCTCTTCCCCATGGCAATTATGTCTAAGACCAGAGGGCATAAGGTTAAGGTGAGGAGCAAGTGGCTGAGAAATGTTTCTTTTTCTGCCCAGAGGTGGTAGAAACATAGAACTGTCTGAGACAGTGGTGGAGGAAGGTGCTCTCACAATATTCAAGGAGCATCTGGATGAGCATTTAAAATGTAGGCTATGAGCCAAATGCAGATAAATGGGATTAGTATAGTTTGGTGTTTGTTGGTTGGCATAGACATGGTGGGCCGAAGGGTCTGTTTCCTTATGACTCTATGACATCTAGCTTGCTAAGACCCTTCAGGATTTTGGATATTTCTATCAAGTCACCTCTTACTCTTCTCAATTCCTTCCTCTTCAAATTGTTATGGTTTGACCTCACACTTCACTGGCTCAAAATACATTAGAATTAAAATTATAATTAGTTTTATTATCAAGTGTACTCATTTGAATACAGTGAAAAATTTACAAATCACCACTTACGGCACCATCTTAGGTGCAAAGGTACATAGGTCCAGATTCTTAAGTACAAAGTCTTAGGAAAAAAAATAGAAAAATAAAGTAATAAAGAGTTCAGAATAATAGTCCCTTCAACCCTATCTTATGCCTGTACCTAGCCTTTAGCCCACACCGGGAATCACCTCCAGACCGCGCCAGCTTCATCTCAAGGCTCTTGAGGCTGGGAGGACACTCTGAGGCCGGGAGAAGTGATGACAACTTCACTCCAGGCTCAAGGACATGAAGGAGAGAAGAAAGAAGAAAAAAACACACGAAAAGAGGGGGAGAAAAAGGGAAAAGAAATGCACGGACAGGATGAGCTCCAGCTGAGGAGTCCTACTCTGCCACCAGCTTGGAGTAAACAAAAATTGAGTTAATTTTAATGTACAAAGAGTTTCTTGCCACCAAGTTATTTTCTTTGTCTATTTTATCTCTGTGGCTTTAATCATCATGAACTCTTGCCTTTTATTTTTTTTAAATTCAGAGTACTTGTGTTTTTTTTAAAAAGAGTTCTTGTTTGCAAGTTTGACCATCGAGACTTTGTCTCCCTTGCTTTCTTTATTGGCAGAAAGGTTGCTTCAGCTGCTCTAGGTTTGTTTTCTTCTCTTTGACCAACTATCTCCAATGTGTCTCTATCACTGTGCCTTTAGGAGCTTCACAGCCACCATTTATTTCATTGCTTGACCAGTTCAGTGAGAAACAGTGGAAATCATGCACTTATTACCACCATGAACTGAAGTCATTAGGATGGATTTGAATGCATCAAAATCCTTTCCCTGGTTACATAAAAACATAAGAAATAGGAGCAGGAGTAGGCTTACTTCTACTCCTATTTCTCATGTCCTTACGTAACCAGGGAAAAAAAAAAATTGACACATTTGATGAGGTACCTTCAACTGCTTCAATGAGGCAGGGAATTCCACTGATTTACAACCTTTTGCGTGAAGAAGTTCCTTCTCAACTCAATCCTAAATCTGCTCCCCCTTATTTTGAGGCTATGCCCCCTAGTTCTAGTTTCACCCGCCAGTGGAAACAGCATTCCTGCTTCTAGCTTACCTATTCCGTGAAAATTTTATATGTTTCTATAAGATTCCCCCCTCATTCTTCTAAATTCCAATGAGTACAGTCCCAGTCGACTCAATCTGTCCTCATAAGCCACACGTCAACTTTGGAATCAAACTAGTGAACCTCCTCTGCACTGCCTCCAGTGCTAATACATCTTTTCTCAAGTAAGGAGACCTTACAATTCAAATACACAAGTGTTGTCCGATTTCAATTAATCATCTCGCAGTTGATGCAAGATTCTCCACACTCAGCACTAATTATTCAATTAAACTTTCAGTCAAGCCTCTTTCACACCAGACAATGAGCATGAGGTCAGATGTTTCCTTTATGTCAGTAGATGTCAAAAATTGAGCCCGCATAGAACAGTACGAATATTACTAGATACGTTATTCCATTGCCTGAAGACTTACCGCATCCTGGAAACCAAACAGAACCAACTGAAACTGGTTTATAGAGATACCATCAAAATCCAAGTCCAGTTTGATTTTGGAGATGGTATTGGCCATTACTCTTCGCTCTGGGGAGCGAACAAAATCCCGTAAAATACCAATAATCTGCTTAATGTGGTCAACTGACAGCTTAACTTCTTCACGACCCTACAAAATAAAACATCCAGTCATTAAGTGCATCTGGAAAACTGGGAGGAGGTCAGGGTACTGACTGTGAATTAATCATTCCATTTCTGATTGCAGGCAGCCTAAATGGGAAAATGCTCCACTCTTCAGCACTGACACAACTCAAGGTGGACAGCATAATTTTTATTAGAAAATAAATTCTAACTATTCAACAGGTTAACATTAAGAGCAGCTGGGATTATTTATATAGCAATAATTTCTTGATTCTCGGTGAACCAAGTAAAAGTATTTCATGTAACCATACTAGGGAAAGATATCCATTTTGCACCACATGTAAAATAACTTATCCAGTGTGGAAAAGCCGGCTTACCTGTGTCAGACTCTCCAACAGATTGGAAACAACCTGATTCTCATCCACAATCAAGATTTTATGAAGAATGGATCTGCGTTCGCTGTCTTTCTTTAACAGAAAAAGGCCTGTGTCTATCTCATCAGAAGAAACTGGACTGCTTCGATCTTTCGTAGATGAAGGTACATCAGGGATACTGTGTTATTGAACAATTAGAGGCAGGATTTAGAGGAAAAATTCTGAAGAATTATCAATACAGTACAATTCCATAATATTGTCATCTCTTACTTCTGCATTTTGCACGTGATTGATGACTCATCTGGCATTAAGGTATCCATTCACAAATGGAGATCATGCCAAAGATAAGTCCACCTCAACTAAACAACTACTTATATTTAAACAGCAATGTTAACATCAGGAGTGGAAATATTTTGATAATTTTGACGGACTCCCTTTCTGTTTCACGAACTCCTTCATTAGGTAATGCAGTCACATGGTAATAATAACTTCTGTATTTGTGTTGGCACGTGGGACATTTGGAATCAAAACCAGAATGAGAAGAATTCATCAAAATCCTCAATAATCATCACGATTCCTTTAAAACTCCTATTAAAGCCACAACAAACACAGAAGTTATTATTTTACTGCGTTATACAATATTTAAAGGCCAAGTTAGCAACAGAAGTGCTTTTAATAAAATAAAAGTTCTTTTAATAAAATAAGTGACACACACTTCTGTATACATAGGTGATTACTCTAAAAATAATGTCCAGAGATTGGTTGGGTCACAGCTAAATGCTTACATAATTGTCTTTACTTGAGGTGTAATGACTGTATTAATATAAGTATGAGAAATGCCTCAAGAGATGCTAATACAGAAATGCACGTCTTTATGATTAAATTAAATTCAATTATCCAATTGACAGTGCTCACTAAATGAATTCCTTTATATTTTTTACCCCCAACCATGTAAGAGCTCCTGGATTTTTACAGTCTTATGTCAGAGACTCTACATTCATTGGCAAGAAATTCACTTCAAGTTTTCCTGGTTCCCAATTAGCTGTACATTTTATCGTTGATAGGTTTGGAACTGTGCACTCCCCCTTTACAAACCATCCCTCCCTTTAGTAAATCCTCTCCGCTTCTGCTATCCCTCATATCCCTTTGTAGCTCTGCAACCCATTTTTAGGCCCTTTCCTTTCCCAATCTTTTTAGCCCCTCACTCTCTTTCTCAACCTCTTTCCCGACCTTGCAGCCCCTCCTCCCATCCATCACAGCCCCTCTCCTCTCCTCATTCATAGCCTCTTTCCCCACTGCAATTCCTCCTCCTTCTTCATTTGCAGAGTTCCTAAAGTGGTAGGAAAACAGATAAAACAAACTCTAACCTTTCTAAAGATAAAGCCGTTAGTATTAGCCATTAGCAAAGATGTAGACTTAAGCAATACTCCCCAGGAATGGTCTCACTAAGGCCCATGTATATCTACAGTAAGACATACTTACTTCTGAATTTAAATCCTCTTACACTGAAGGCCAACATATCATATACTTTCGTAACTGCTAGCTGCACCTACCTATCTACTTGTATTGACTGGTGTACAAGTACACTGGTGTACACTCAGATCCATACATACATTCACTCTTCCCAAGATATCACTATTTAAATAGTGCTCTTCCTTTCTGTTTTTTACAATGACGTGAATAGTTTCATATTCTACCATGCATTTGCTCACTTACTCAACTTGTCTAAATCCGCCTCCCTGCATCCTCCTCACTACTTACAATCCTGACTGGCATTCTTTTTTTCATCTGCAAACTTGGAGATGTGGCATTTGGTTTCCTTATCAAAATCATTTATATATTATGAAAAGCTGGGGACCAAGCACTGATCCTTGAAGTACCCCACTAGTGCCACTGCCTACTGCTTGGAAAAGACTCATTTATTCCCATTCTCCTTTTCATGTGAATCATTCCTCGATCCATGCCAATATATTATCCCCTATGCTATTCGCATTAACTTTGCTGACTAAACTCTTGTAATGGACCTTATCAAAAGCCTTTTAAAGATCTAAATATCTCACATTCACTTATCTAGTCTACTACAAATATAACCTGAAAAATACTCCAGTAGATTTGTTAAGCATTATTTGCCTTTCAGCCATGCAGGCTTTGTCTAATTCCACTGATACTTTCCATATGGGAAGATTCTGCCCATCGAATCTACACTAACACTTTTGAAGACCCATCAAGTTTATCCCGCTCTCCTGTTTTTCACCCTGTTTCCCTGAATACTATTCTCTCTCCAGAGAAAGGGGAATCTCAATACTCGCTAGCTACCTCATACAACTGTACTCACCTTTGAGTTTATTTTTTATAAAATGTGCTTCTAGGTCTGTGCAGTCTTTCTTTGAATTGTAAAGGGAATGCTAAGGAGCAAGTAAAGAGATCGGAATTGAAGTTGGATAAATTATGAATTTTATCAAATGCGGCTCTTCTAAAAACAACTTCTCGATCAATAGAATTGGACGCAGATGAGCTAATGCTCGATGTATAAGGAACACTGGTGTGATTTGAGAACATGTGTAAAGTAATTAAGTTGATACCAGCACTGAAGTGAAGCCGATACCATTGATCTACTCAGAGACCTCCTTCGAGGCCTGTGCAGGGCTTTTCCGGGAACAGAAGTCTTCTTTATCCCTCACATTGTCCTTGCTTCTTTTGCACAGCACTTTAAAGCTATGACCTCTCCTTGATTCTTTTACAAACAGGAACAGCATTTTCATATCTAACTCTAATCCAATCTGCTCAGAATTTGGAAAACCTCTATTAAATTTCTTCTCGGCCTTCTTATCTTGAAGGAAAAAGGTCCAAACTTCTTCAATCTATCCTCACAACTGAAGTTTCTCATTCCTGGAATCATTCTTGTAAATCAATTCTGCACTCTCTCAATGCATTTCCTATAATGTGGTACTCACAACTGTACACAATCCTCCAGCTGACGTCTAACAAGTGTCTTGTACAAGTTTATTGTGACTTCCTTGTCTTGTACGCTATGCCTCTTTTAAGAAAGCTGAGAACACTGTATGCTTTTAACTACTCTCTCCACCAGTTCTGCCATATTCAATGATCTGTGAACATATACACCAAGGTCCCTCTGCTCCTGGGCCCCCTTTAGAATTGTACACTTTATTTTGTATCAGAGATAGTAGGAACTGCAGATGCTAGAGAATCTGAGATAACAAGGTGTAGAGCTGGATGAACACAGCAGGCCAAGCAGCATCATAGGAGCAGGAAGGCTGACGTTTCGGGCCTAGACCCTTCATCAGAAATAGGGGAGGGGAAGGGGGTTCTGAAATAAATAGGGAGAGAGGGGGAGGCAGATAGAAGATGGATAGAGGAGAAGATAGGTGGAGAGGAAACGGACAGGTCAAAGAGGCGGGGATGGAGCCAGTAAAGGTGAGTGTAGGTGGGGAGGTAGGGAGGAGATAGGTCAGTCCAGGGAGGATGGACAGGTCAAGGGGGCGGGATGAGGTTAGTAGGTAGGAGATGGGGGTGTGGCTTGAGGTGGGAGGAGGGGATAGGTGGGAGGAAGAACAGGTTAGGGAGGCGGGGACGAGCTGGGCTGGTTTTGGGATGCGGTAGGGGGAGGGGAGATTTTGAAGTTATGCCTGCCTCTTTGTAGGTTACGTGGAACAATCCCTCTTCCATACCTACACTGCCCCTAAACCCCACCTCTTCCTCCGTTACATTGATGCCTGTATCAGCGCCGCCTCATGCTCCCACGAGGAGCTCAAACAGTCCATCCACTTCACCAACACCTTCCACCCCAACCTTAAGTTCACCTGGACCATCTCTAAAACCTCGCTCACCTTCCTGGACCTGTCTGTCTCCATCTCGGGCAACCACCTAGAAACCGATATCCATTTCAAGCCCACCGACTCCTAGAGTACACCTCCTCCCACCCACCTTCCTGCAAAAATGCCATACCCTATTCCCAATTCCTTCGCCTCCGCTGCATCTGCTCCCAGGATGAGTCATTCCACTCCCGTACATCTCAGATGTCCTCGTTTTTCAAGGACCGCAACTTCCCCGCCCCGGTGGTCAAGAACGCCCTCCACCGTGTCTCCCACATTTCCCGCAACTCATCCCTCACACCCCGTCCCCGCAATAACAACGAAAAAAGAATCCTTCTCGTCCTCACGTACCACCCCACCAACCTCCAGATCCAACGCATCATCCTCCGACACTTCCGCCATCTGCAATCTGACCCCACCACCAAAGACATTTTTCCCTCCCCACCCTTATCTGCTTTCTGGAGGAACCACTCTCTCTGTGACTCTCTTGTCCACTCCACACTCCCCTCCAGCTCCACCACACCCGGCACTTTTCCCTGCAACCGCAGGAAGTGCTACATCTGCCCCCACACCTCCTCCCTCACCCCCATCCCAGGCCCCAAGACGACTTTCCACGTCAAGCAGATGTTCACCTGCACATCTGCCAATGTGGTATACTGCATCCGCTGTACCCGTTGTGGCCTCCTCTACATTGGCGAAACCAAGCGGAGGCTTGGGGACCGCTTTGCAGAACACCTACGCTCGGTTCGCAATAAACAACTGCACCTCCCAGTCACGAACCATTTCAACTCCCCCTCCCATTCCTCAGACGACATGTCCATCCTGGGCCTCCTGCAGTGCCACAACGATGCCACCCGAAGGTTGCAGGAACAGCAACTCATATTCCACTTGGGAACCCTGCATCCCAATGGAATCAATGTGGATTTCACAAGCTTCAAAATCTACCCTCCCCCTACCGCATCCCAAAACCAGCCCAGCTTGTCCCCGCCTCCCTAACCTGTTCTTCCTCCTACCTATCCCCTCCTCCCACCTCAAGCCACACCCCCATCTCCTACCTACTAACCTCATCCTGCCCCCTTGACCTGTCCGTCCTCCCTGGATTGACCTATCTCCTCCCTACCTCCCCACTTACACTCACCTTTACTGGCTCCATCCCTGCCTCTTTGACCTGTCTGTTTCCTCTCCACCTATCTTCACCTCTATCCCTCTTCTATCTGCCTCCCCCTCTCTCCCTATTTATTTCAGAACCCCCTTCCCCTCCCCCATTTCTGATGAAGGGTCTAGGCCCGAAACGTCAGCCTTCCTGCTCCTATGATGCTGCTTGGCCTGCTGTGTTCATCCAGCTCTACACCTTGTTATCTCTACACCTTATTTTGTATTGTCTTGCAATGTTATTCTTACTAAAGTGCATCATTAAACCTCATCTGCCACTTATCCATCCATTTGTCAATGTTTTTTCATATTTCTACACTGTCCTGCTCACAGTTTACAATTCTTCCTAGTTTTGTGTCATCTGCAAATTTAGAAATTATCCTAACATACCAAGATCCAGATCATTAATATATATCAGGAAAAGCAAGAGTCCTAATATCGTGCACGTGCGCTTTTATGGGAGCCTCCGTAGTTGAAACCTATTAATTCTTCCCCATTGACTCTCCCGATGTAATGCAAAGGGTGTGAATGCCACTTGAACCTGGGTTTCTACTAATGCCAGCTGGAAACCAGCACTAGGAGCTATGAAAGAACTGGCTGATCATGATTCATGGTTAATCTCTTTCTCTATTCTGCATTCCCTGAAAGTCGCTCAGCTATTTGGGAATGCAACAACTAAAAGGTTGATGCCATCCACCGATTATTGACACAGCGTTATTTTACAATAAAATTCCCATTTCCTTTTATTGAAAATTTGACAAGAATAAAAATGTAATGGGAGGTCTCATCTGTCTTGCCATTTGACTTTGCACTACTAATTCATTAATTCATTAAACAGAACAGAAAACATTTTGTGTTTTACCTCAGTAAAGGAGACCCTAAAACACGGTTCAGATTTTCTGCATTTGGTTTCCTATTTCTCTCAAAGAAAATATCATGCTTTGCGTCAGAGTCTGGTGACAATGATCCATGATCACTTTCATTGCTGCCCAGGTTTTCGCTGTGGGATGTGATAGGAAGCGAGATGCTCAGACTACGATCTAGACAGAAAATGAGAGAAAAGAAGTGAACTCTTTTATCTATAACCTCTTGAATTTCTTCAGGCACTTTTCTTTTAAGCTCAGTTAGATTAAGTGTGGGTTGGGAAATCAGGGCAGAGGTTCCCATCACTAAGAATGCTCAGGTAATGAAGCACTCAAAACGAATTCATAAAAAAGGAAAATCAGGATTGCAGAGAATCACAGGCAGGGGCCTCTGTTCTAAATTCTAGGTATTGTGTTCTGATTAAGACTTTCTGCTGAGAGTGAAGTCTCATTGTTTTACGGCTTCAGATTTATCACCATTTCTTTGCAAATCTAAATTTGTCATGTAGCATCATGTACTAATAAACCCCTCATAGCCAAGCTTGCATGCCAGAAGCACCTATTAGAAATACGCTCCATAGGTATTCGCACTTTTTTTTTCAAAATTTCCCTAATTTCTGGAATGTGTCACTCTGGTGAATGCTCACTTCCAGAAGGAAATGTCATAAAATTATCCATTGTTGTTGTCCTTTTAATTTTTTTTTCTGTGCTCATCGAGACGGTGGGTATCAACGCTAGGGAATTCAATAATTTCTCACTTTTGACATCCATCGAATGCACTACATATCCACACAGTAGGGACAAACACACCCTTTCATCCAGTGGGTGCTGGTACAGTGCCACATGAACATGTGTAGTAGTAGAAAGGGCAAAAGTTCAAATTGCCAGTCCTAATGTATGGATTGCTGAAAGTGACTATCATTCAGTTTCTCACTTGCTCGCACCATTGCATGCAAAATCTGTTACTCACATTACCTTCAATATTCTTACTCAATTTCCTCCTGATTGAAAACAACCAATTCCCCTCCCTTCCTATTCCGCAACTGAGGAATTCATGTAAGAGGAGGGTTCTCTGGAAAGCACAGCATTAATATAGTGGCAATGTACAGAAGCAGAGATCGTAAGAATTGCCAATGCTGGAGTCAGATGTAACATAGTATGGAGCTGGAGGTATACAGCAGGTCAGGCAGCATCAGAGGAGCAGAAAAGTTGACATTTTGGGTCAGGACCCATTTCTGAAGAAGGGTCTGAACCCAAAATGTCAACTTTCCTGCTCCTCTGATGCTGCCTGGCCTGCTGTGTTCCTCCAGCTCCACACTATGTTATGTATAGAAGCAGCTTTGCAACCAAGTCTAGTGCTTGAACTCACGCACCATTCACTAAAATGTAACCCTACTGGATATCATAAATCATGGTTGGAGTAGGGGAACCCTGAGCTAACTCAAGATCATTATCCTGGGTGAGATCAATTACCTCAGTACAGACATATGGCTCTCCACATCTGAATGGTACACTGCAACACCATTAACACAGACTTGCCACTGAGTAGTTTTTGAAATGCCAGAATCACCAGATTGTAATTCCAGCAGACTCCCTCTGGTGGTTGGAAGGTTCATGGGACAGGATTTCAGTCACATTTGGCACCACTGGGGCTGTACCTGCCTGCTGTTCAGAACATCAGAAAACAGAAAAGCAGAATGGCAGACAGTGCAACCTTTAAAAATTAGAGAGTAAATGCTTTCACTTCTCACCACAAACGTCTGCTTCAATTCACCTTGTCCCAGCTTTTCATCAATTTTACACTTCTATCACGTCAGCTCATTGCCAACATAGCTCCAATGAAAATGATCAATTTTGTTCCACTTAAATTTTGTAACATCATCCAAGCCAATCTGTATTTCATCCTCTCTAAAGCTTTAGCAACCTTTACATTAGTGTGGGTATAATTACTGCAGAATTCACCAAGGTCTTATCAATGTTTTATCTTATATGGATTCATTTTAACTCTTATTATAATGCATCAAATACATATGTTTTAAATATATAAATATATATTCTACATATGTTTTGTATTATAATCTCTAAAATTCCATTAGCTTTATGTTTTAACAGCCTTCTCAGCCTTAGGTTACCCTCCAATATATTGGGAAACTGCTCTCACATATCCCTCTCCTCTCCAACAGCAATAACCTCCCTTTGACTAAGAGTACAATTACTGCTGATTTTTGACCAACACACTCATTTTATTTAATCTTACACTGCCTGATATTGAATTCCATCTGCTATTTTTAAGCCTGTTCTATCATCTTATCAATAGCCCTCTTCCATAGAAACAATTCTTCATCCTATTTTGGTACCATCTCTCTATTTCAACACTATTCCCTCTTGTCCTCTTCAAACTGTTGATATGTACGGTGTTGTAGTCCCAGAAGTGAATCCTATTAGACAGTGCTATCTAATTCTAAACAACCTGCTTTTAAATCCTATTCCCTGTTCTCTTCTCACTAATGTTTAATCCAGTTTGCTGTCTACCATGTAAATTCCTGCACATTAATCTTTGGTAATAATTTTGTATTTAGTTCCTTGTACTTTTACAAGCTCTCATAGCCAGTGAGAAATTTTATCTGCTAGAATTGATTATAGGCAACATGTGCTTCACATTTTTTCTCAATTATCGTGATCAAAAAATCAGAAGTAATGCCTAAATTTCCAACATGCACAGCCAGGGAACAAAACTCACATGCAGTATGGGACTCAAAACTGCTTTGTTTGTGCCCATCTAGATGGAAGCTCCTACTTTAATCAAATAAACACAGTACACCCTTCTCCAAAGGAGACAGTATCTTTCATTACTTGCGTATGCCTCACCACTTGGTTTGAAGGCAATTTTATTTTTCTTGCCACTATTAGTCTTTCTGAGGAAAGGATCTTTAAGTAGTTCTGCTGCCGTAGCTCGTTTAAAGGGATCAGGCTCAAAGCAACGAAGCATAAAGGACTTTGCATCTGCTGGCATCGATTCTGGGATCTCAGGGTGGATTTTAAACATTGCAATCTGTTGAAGAAGTGAACAGGTAAAGGTCAAGACAGAGCAAGCCTTCACATTCAGATACAACCACTCACAACATGTGTGTTCCACTCAAAAACTGAAGATATAGGGATAAAAGAAGAACTGGTGGGGCTTTATACCTGCTATAGACATTTTTTGATCATCTGAAAAATATCAGACATGACATTTGTCATGCTAATGGCCAAACAGAACTGTTTACAGGAATGAGAGTCTGTCCATTTGCTTCTGGTGTTGCTCAGCGTGGAATGCTAATGTGGCATCATCAACTCTCTGCTAAGGGTTTGCTGCATCTTTGTCTTAGTTCTCAAGTGAGCAGAACTGAAAAGCTTTCCATTTGCTCTGGCATGTCATTCGACATCCTCTGGAGGTGACCTGAAGGCATGTGAATGTGACAAACAGAAGACATGCCATAGAGTGTTGGTGCTAGAACACCTCCCTGTTTGACCTCACTGTGGATCCAAAACATCCCAGTGTTGCACTGTCAGAATTGACCTTCCTCATAAATGTTGACAATGAAGATGGCCTTGTAAGAAACTGTGAGCAGCCCTGGGATGAGAAGGTGCAGGGCTGGATGAACACAGCAGGCCAAGCAGCATCATAGGAGCAGAGAGGCTGACGTTTCGGGCCTAGACCCTTCATCAGAAAAGGGGGAGGGGAAGGGGGTTTTGAAATAAATAGGGAGAGAGTGGGAGGCGGATAGAAGAGGGATAGAGGAGAGGATAGGTGGAGAGGAAACAAACAGGTC